AACTTGCTTTTTTTTTTGCTCGACCTAGATTTGATCATTCTGCCGATGTGCTTTACCGACTTCTTCTAGTCCTTTCATTTCATTTTCTCCTCAGATAAATGAATAAAACATTAATCCATCACCTCCTACTGGATTTACCAAGAATGTGCTTGATGTAGAAGAATATAAACAGGTGTGACAACTTTTGTACAAACATTTATGGTTATTCTTTTCAAAAGATATCATTTAACTATTAAAATAAGAACTCTATAGAAACAGTTTGTGTCAATATAGTCCTGTTGGTGCTATGCATTTCAATAGCAAAGTCATTCTTCTATGTGCAACTCCCGTAAATGGGGTTTTCTGCAGATTGATTTGAGATTATATAGACCAAACATATGAATAAAAATACTACAAGAGCTGTTATAATGTTCTGTTTTGTCTCATTGGATTGTGAGTTCCTTAAAAATAGGAAGAGCCTTTTGTTTGTGGAGACCCATTTTCTGAAACAGTTTTGCATGTATTGTTGTTAAGTGCCGTTGAGTCGATTCTGACTGATAGCAACCCTGTATAGTGTTTCCAAGGACCAGCTGGTGAGCTTGAACCACTAACCTTGCCGTTCAAATGACTTTGCAGTCTGATGCATTAACCCACAGCGCCACAACAGGACTCCTTGCATATATTAGGTGTTCTTTTATTGGCTTCTGCATTTGTGAGTGCCTAAGTGATAACTTTGTTTTATGAGGAAAAAAGTCACACTGAACAGTTTAAACCCCACATACGATTCTTGCTATGTAAATGGGTATATAAGTAGAAATTTTAGTAGAATAATTTTTGAAAATGATTTTATGAAAGCAGATTTTCAGAACAACAACATATTTTCTTGTATATAAATACATTACAAAGAACATTTGTACTTTTATTTAAGCTCATTCAGGTTTATTTTTAGTCTTGAATGAAGTTGTGTGAATCTTCCTGCTCTGCGAGAAGTGGTGCTTATGGAAAGATCTGTTTGCCAGAGGAGGATGGAGAGAAAAAATATTTAACATTGTATTGTTCTATTAGATTTCTTCATGTTATTTCCACTCTACCAGATCTTGTTTTTTATGGTTATTTGCTGTAGGCAGCTAAAGATAAATCAAAACTAAATTGCTAGATTTTTAATGTTTGCTTCTTCTTAGGATAACCAGTGATTCTCAGTATCTGAATTTTTATTTATTTTTTTGTCTTTGAATGTGGGACTAACTAGTTGCGTTCGTTTCCTTGGTTGAAATACAAATATTCCAAACTCTTTGGGAATTGCAGTTAAGAGGCAAAAGTAATATTGATAGTAATTTTTGTAGAGTTCACAGAATCTTGGATAAACTATTAAATTTCCTTCTAACTTTTTAAGCTCTTTTCCTTTAAAAGTATAATATTTTCTCTGTGTTGTATCTACAGATTAAGCATAGTTTAGAATGATAAAACTCTTTTATCCTTTAAGAACACACACAAACTTTGTAAAACCAACTTTGTATAACTTATTATTCCAATATATTTTTTTCTGGAAATGGAAAAAAAAATCAAGTATCCATTTAAAATTTAATTACTCTAAACTAAGTTTGAAGGCTATAGTTTTTTCCTTTAACTTTATTAGTTGTTGCCCAAATGGGTCATTTGATTTAGTATATTATCAAGGTGCATAATTTTGTGCATTTATACTGCTAACAAACGCTTATAGAATGTTTACATTTTTCCCATTTCTCTATAGCGTTTAGAATATTTATTTTGAAAGTTATACTCTTGAAATATACTTATGATACTAATGAAGTCTTACGGGAGAATTTATGTTTGCTTGTTTTATTCATGATCTGTGCCCTTTATCTAATTACCTCAGGCGCAAGATCTAACCAAAGACACTCAGCAATTAATGAAACTGAAGTAATAAAACAACTCAAGGAATTTTATTAGGAGAAGCCCTTAATAACATTACTTTATCAGCAATTTTAAATCTACCTTTATTTTTCATTTGATAGTATATTAAGTTTTGATTATTTGTGGAAATATTTTATGATTTAGTACAATGAGATAAAGAATAGCTTAAAAAGTTATATCTCTCTTGTGTAAAACCAAATGTCTATTGGACTTACACGGGAACATTTAATTTTATAATAGAATTTGCTTTAGAGTTGAAACTATGAACTGTGTTCTTTCAAATTTCCCAGGTGGTCCAAAACGAAAAGATTATTGGCAAATAACATTAAAAAAATTAAAATGAAAAAGCTGAGTCCACATATTGAATTTCCAAAGGTGGGAAGATACATTTTGTTCTGTGTATATTATGTAACCATAATTGTAATATTTTTCAACATCTTACATTACCACTCTGCAATGCATGTTTCTATTAATTAGGCCATCAGCTCTAAGGAATTTTCATCAGGATGTTGATGAAAGAAAGCATAAAAATAAAAATAAAATATTTTCTCCATTCTCTGTCCCTAGTAACTTTTTTGGGAAGCACCATTGATCCTGGATCAATGTTCTTTTCAAGACAGCAGTCACAGCTATACTGAAATTGGAATGCAGATAATGTCAATTAAATCACTACCAGTATGCCTGGGACATACAGATGTTCAACAATGTTAGTTCCCATTTCTAACACACACACACACACAAATCTAATATATTTTGACCAGGCTTATTAAGTAGTTTGGCACATGTGTGTTCTGTTGGGAGTTCTTGGGTAGTACAAATTGTTAATGTCATCAGCTGCTCATAGGTTAGAGGTTCAAGTCCACTCAGAAATGCATCAGAAAAAAGAACTAGGGAACCACTTCTGAAAATCCATTGAAAACCATATGGTTGTCAGTTCTACATGGACATACATGGAATCACCATGAATTGGGGTCATCTCAGTGACAATTGGTTTGGTGTTCTGTCTGTATGTACTTGTATATGTGCTTGTTTGATTTGGGGTTGGTACACTCTGATGCTCTCCCTATGATTCAAAGATAAATGCTAAATCCAGGAAGAAAAGGCAATTCAAAGAGATTGCTTGGTGTTATGTAGATAGACTTTGAGGGTATTTTCTATAAATATTTATTTGCATTTGTTTGCTGATGCAGTGAAGGGGGAAGAATGTCTTCTTGGGGTAGATGAGGCCAGTTTTCACAAAAGCATATTCTGAAATGTAGTTCTGGATGTTTGCGTGAAACAGTATCTTAAAACACAGATTTCCAAAATAGAGTAATGTACAGGCACACCTTAAAGGTATTGCAAATTGGATTCCATATCACCACAATAAAGCGAATTTGACAATAAAACAAATCACATGAATTTTTAGGTTTCTCAGTGCATATGAAAGGTAGGTTTACTGTATATTCTAGTCTTTTATGTGTGCAATTATGAAAAAGTTTGAAATGGTATGAGAAATATCAAAATGTGACATGGAAACAGGAAGTGAGTACATGCTATTGGAAAAATGGTACCAATAGACTTGTTTCAATTTTTAGAAAATGAACTATCAGTAACATGCAATAAAATAAAGCAAGACATTTCTGTATTTTTCATTAAGAAGTTGGGAAGGTGTACCTACCATTAGTATTTAGGTTCTAGAAAAAAAAAATCTAACACAGGGATATTGGCTGGAAAGAGAAAATGGTAGCAGATGGGATGTTTAAAAGTGTCTAGTAGTTTTTGACCCAGTGATTAAGGATTAACTATTATAGAACCATCATCTAGGACAATTTATATACAGAGAAAGTTTCCCACAGCATGTGAGTAATTGAAAAGGGATAAAGGTAAGACCTGATGCAATGTCTTGGGCAGGTTCAATTTCACACTTCTCTAATAATCACTGGGATGACAGGGTAAGTCATACTAAAAAGAAGAGATACTGATGATAAGATGTGATTGGTTTTAACTCCACTGAAAATAAATCCAGCAGAAATTTTACCTTGCTTTGATTTCAAACCTGAAAAAAATATCACTACCACTAGAGGTGGGGTGGAGAGAATGTACACATGAAAAGCAAGGTAGAAAGGAAAGACAACTGTCAACAAGTTAAAATCCATAGACTGCAATTCTCAGTGGGTGGGCTATATCTGGAACTATATTAGACTTTGGCTGACTAGTAATGCAACTAAGCTGTAGTGAATGTTTCAAACTTTTTAGCTCTGCTGAACTAGAAGGATTCAGTTGACAAGGGTCAGTAGTTTATACACAAGAATGTCCAAAAAGGATTTTCTTCCTTATAAATTTCAGAAAGAAAGTAAAACCTATATTTAAATATTTAGCCATGCTTTGGCTATGCCTTTCAATATTAATTGTATGATAGTTTGTATGAGTGGGCTCCAAAATGTTATGGAAAAATGCAATTCAAAGATAAGGGAATTTTTCATGACATTTTTGAAGCCCCCTCGTATTTTCACAGTTTTTTAATCTGCTGTCCCACCTATCAGTTAGGTAGCTCAAAGAGCTGACAAAAGCTGGATTTATTTCCAAATCAAATCTAATTGTAATTTTGAGATTTTACACTAAAGTTGAATGATGACCATCTAGTTTGTATGATATAAAAATCATCTCATCGTTTTACAAATAAACATGTTATTTGACTTTTTGTCATTACAGTAAATGGAAAAGTCATTTTACTCAACAAATTCATTGTTTCCCCTGTTTTTCTCCCAATAGTCTCAGATGTTCATGAAATGGCGCTGTACTTTGTTGAAAGGAAGTATTAAATGTAAGCATTTGAAAATCTGCATGTTGTAGAAGTATCAAGTGTATAGATAAAATTTGAGGGGATAATTGAGAAATCACATTTGCTAGAGTTACTATAAATCATGTAAAATTACATTTAGATTTGATATTAACTGCATAGCCCCAAGAAATATCTTGGATTCCTCAATTTAAATGGAAAGGACTTCATTTTCATTTTTCACAGTTAGGCTGTCTCCTAGATTTGATCACTATTTGTGATGCTGTTTCTGTCAGAAGGAAAATCTGAGTAACTCTGATGGGTTAAACCACTTAGAGTCAGGACATGCTAGAACATTGGCAAAGATTTTATCTGCTCTGTCTTCGCATACAGAAACCCTTTCCTCTCTTTTGTAGATAACTGTAAAATCAGTTTTCTTCTACTCTGTAAGTCAACTTTGACTAAAGGTTACCTCAGAAGCCAAACAGGTGTCATCAAAAGACACTTTTGTGGCAGACAAATAAGTATCAGTGACAGTAATATCATCAAGCTCTGTGCTGAAATGATCTGACTCCTTGATGACGCTGTAATTTAGGGCCAGGCTGTAATTAGTGGGCTTCTCTATAGGCTTCGGTTTGCAGTTGCAGAGCTTTCTGAAGGCTGCACGGAATTTCTGTGACATGAGATTATAAATCACAGGGTTAATGGCACTGTTGAGATAAATGCAAATTCTGCAAAAGAGCAAGAACCAATTTTCTTGGAAAGGACTTGAGAGAAAGGAGTTGACAACCACAAGAGTCCTGTAGGGCATCCATAAAAGGGCAAAGAGAATTACAACCACTGCCAGCATCTTGGTGACCTATGGAGAAATAGAGAGAAATGCAGTGAAAACACAAATTAAAACTGAGAAAATCCTCCAAACCTTTAGTTCCCAAGATGTAGTTTCAGACAAGGACTTAATTTAGGCAGTTTATTTGGAAGGTTTATTTGGGTGCAGAGGCACTGAGGCAGAGGAAGAAATGCCCAAATGTGCTGTGTGGTTGAGATGGCTGTCACTAGGGACAATGAACCCTGGTAGCGTAGCAGTTACAAGTCGAGCCGGTAACCTCAGGCAGCAATTTAAAACTGCCAGCTGTTCCATGAGAAAAATATGAGACTTGCTGCTCCTGTAAAGATTTATAGCCTCCGAAGCTCTGTGCAGTGTCGCTAAGAGTTGAAATTGACTACAACGGTATACCACCACCACCACAATGGGCAACAGTATCTCAAGGCCACTGTCTGACAGAAGAAAGAGGGGTTGAGGCATTTATTCATGGTTACCATTTCTTGAGCTCTGGTAGCGTAGTGGTTATGAATCGGACTGCGAACCTTAAGGTCAGCGGTTCGAAACTACCAGCCGCTCCGCGGGAGAAAGATGAGGCTTTCTACTCCCGTAAAGATTTGCACCCTCGGAAACCCTGTACAGGGTCGCTATGGGTCGGACCCGACTCGATGGCACTCAACAACAACAACAAATATAATGGAAATCTTACAGTGTTTTAAAATCCCAAAGCCGTATCATACTAAACATTATAGAATTACAAATTTTAAAACACTATAGAAATACCCCACCACTTATCAGTCAGTTTGTCACACTGTGGTGGCTTGCGTGTTGCTGTGATTCTGGAAGCTATGCCATGGGTATTTTAAATACCAGCTGGGTCACTCATTGTAGACAGGTTTCAGCTGAGCTTCCAGACAAAGACAGACTAGGAAGAAGGAGAGAGGGACTACTTCTAAATGTTTAGTCATTGAAAACCTTATGAATAGCAGTGGAACATTGTCAGCACCAGAATACTGAATATGGAAACATGATGACAAGCACCAAAATATTGTCAGGTGTAGTGCCGGAAGATTGGAAGGCACTCAAAATGTGACTAGGTAAGAGCTGCTTCCTCAAACTAGAGTTGGCCATGATAATGTGAATGGAGTAAAGCCATGAGGATCTACATTTGCTAATGGGTCAAACTCAAATTGAAGAGAAAGAGCTGTAAGTATCCATCAAAAATTGAAACATGGACTGTATGGAGTATGAATCTAGGAAAACTGGAAATGATAAAAAATGAGATGGAACGCATAAACATTGTTATCCTAGGCATTAATGAGCTGAAACGGACTGGGACTGGTCCCTATGAATCTGACAAACATGTGGTTTACCATGCCGAGAATGATAAAGTGAAGAGGAATGGTGTCACATTCATCATCAAAAAGAACGTAACAAGATCTGTCATGAAGTGCAACCTGTCTGTGATAGGATAATATTCACCTGACTACAAGGAAGACCACTATTATTCAAATTTATGCACCAACCACTAAAGCCTGTAAAAAGGTAATTGAAGAATTTTACCAATTTCTTCAGTCTGAAATTCATCAGCCATGCAATCAAGATGTATTTATCATTACTGGTGATTGGAATGAAAGGGTTGGAAACAAAAAGGAAGGATCAATAGTTGGTAAATATAGCCTTGGTGATAGAAATGATGCTGGAGATCACATGATAGAATTTTGAAAGACCAATGACTTCTTCATTACAAATACCTTTTTTAAAACAATATGAAAGACTACTCTATATATGTGCCTTACCAGAAGGAGTACACAGAAATCAACTTGACAATATCTGTGGAAAGAGATGATGGAAAAGCTCCAAATCATTAGCCAAAACAAGACCAGAGGCAGACTGTGGAACAGACTATCAATTGCTCATATGCAAGCTCAGGCTAAAGCTGAAGAAAATTAAAACAAGTCCACGAAAGCCAACATATCTTGAGCATGACCCACCTTGAGCATATCCCACCTGGATTTAGAGATCATCTGAAAATCAGATTTGATGCATTAGGTACTAAAGTCCAAAGACCAGAAGAGTTTTGGCATGACATCAAGATGACATCATAAAAGCAGAAAGCAAAAAGTCATTAAGAAGCCAAGAAAGCAGGAAAAGAAGAAAATGGATATCAGAAGACTTTCTCTCCAGCATAGAGATGCTAAAGTAAATAGAAGAAATGAGGAGGTAAAAGAGATGAAAAGAAAATTTCATAGAACAGCTTGAGAAGACAAATTCAAATATAACAAAATGTGCAAAGACTTGGAGCTAGAAAAACAAAAGAGTAATACTTCTCAAGAAAAGGAAAGCCTTTCTCAAACTGAAGGAATTGAGGAACAAAATTGAAGTCTCAACTTGCAATATTGAAGGATTCTATGGGCAAAATATTCAACGAGGCAGAAAGCATCAAAGGAAGATGGAAAGAATGCACAGAGTCACTGTACCAAAAAGAAATGGCTGATGTTCAACCATATCAAGAAGTAGCATATTTTCAAGAGCCAATGATACTGAAGGAAGAAGTCCAAAGTGTGTTGAAGGAATTGGCAAAGAAAAAGCACCAGGAATGGATGGAATACAAATTGAAATCTTTCAACACATTGATGAGATACTGGAGGCACTCACTTATCAATGCCAAGAAATTTGGAAGACAGTCACCTGGCTAAATGACTGGAAGAGATCTGTATTTGTACCCGTTTCAAAGAGTGGTGACCCAATGGAATGCAGAGATCATTTGTCAATATCATTGATATCATATGCAAGTAAATTTTTGCTAAAGATAATACAAAACAGCTGCAACCATACATTGACAGAGAACTTCCAGATGTTCAAGCCAGATCAGAAGAGGACTTGAAATGAGGGATATTGTTGCTGATGTAAAATTGATCTTGGCTAAAATAGAGAATACCAGAAAGATGTCTACCTGTGCTTTATTGACTATGCAAAGGCTTTCAATTGTGTGGATCATGACAAGCTATGGACAGTGTTGTGGAGAATGAGTATTTCAGAACACTTAATTGTGCTCATGAGGAAACTGTACACAGACCAAGAGGTAGTTGTTTGAACAGAACAAGGGAATGCCAAATGGTTTAACATTAGGAAAGGTGTGTGCCAGGGTTGTATTCTTTCACGATACTTATTTAACCTATATACTGAGCAAATAATTTGAGAAGCTGGATTACATGGAAAAAAAAAAATTGGCATCAGGATTGGAAGAAGGCTCATTAACAACCTGTGATATGCAGATGATACAATCTTGATTGCTGAAAGTGAAGAGGACTTAAAATACTTACAGGTGAAGATCAATGATCACAGCCTTTGGTATGGGTTGCACCTCAATGTAAAGAAAACAAAAATCCTTACCACTTGACCTGTAAATAGCATCCATATAAATGGGAAAAGATTGAAGTTCTCAAAGATTTCATTTTGCTTGGATCAACCATCAACACTCATGGAAGCAGCAGTCAATAAATCAAACGATGTATTAGGCAAATCAGCTACAGAAGACGTCTTTAAAGTGTTCAAGATCACAGATGTCAGGGTGAGTACTACGGTACACCTCATTTAAGCCATGATGTTTTCAAAAACCTCATATGCTTGTGAAAGTTGGACAGTGAATATGAAACTGTAGAACAATTGATGCATTTGAGTTATGGTATTGGAAGAGACTATTAAAAGTATCATGAATTGGCAAAAGAAGAAACAGATCTGTGTTGGAAGAAGTACAGCCAGAATGCTCCTTGGAAGCTAAGTTGGCCAGACTTGGTCTCTCACACTTGAGACATATCAGTAAGGACAAGTCCCTGAAGAAGGATATCATGTTTGGTAAAGCAGAGGGTCAGAGAAATAGAGTTGTTGTTGTTGTTGTTGTTGTTAAGTGCCATCAAGTTGGTTCCGACTCATAGCGACCCTGTACAGGGTTTCCAAGGCTGTAAATCTTTATGGGAGCAGAATGCCTCATCTTTTTCCCACGGAGCGGCTGGTAGTTTCAAACTGCTGGCCTTAAGGTTAGCAACCCGATTCGTAACCACTACGCTGCCAGTGCTCCCTAATGAGATGGATTGGCACAGTGGCAGCAGCAATGGGCTCAAGTGTGGCAACAATTGTGAGGTTAGTTCAGGACTGGGCAGTGTTTCTTTCTGTTGTGCATAGGGTTGTTATGAGTCAGTACCGACTCAATGGCACCTAACAACAATAGAAATATTACCCTTTTATTAATTACAATATTAAGAGATCACAATATTTCAACTATCTGAAAGGTATATTTAATTGTAGCAGTATTTGTTTTTGGGTGGAGAGATACTAGATGGTTGCTTGTCTTCATGAGCAACATTTTGTACATTTTATAGAAGTTTTCACTTATCTCTAGCCTTTCATAGAGTTTGGTGGATTTCAACTTCCTTAGTTTGTTGTTGTTGTTAAGTGCTGTCGAGTCGGTTCCGATCTATAGTGGCCTTGTATAAAGTTTCCGAGGAGCGGCTGGTGAGCTTGAACTGCCAACTTTGTGGTTTAAACTGACTTTGCAGTCCATTGCGTTAACCCACACCTTGGAAATACTCAAAGTAGAATGAACTGACTTCTTTCTCATCCATTCTAACCTCCCAGCTGTTTCATTCAAGTCCCTGGGGGAATCATTGTGTACTTTGAGAAGGCTTTAAAAGTTCTTCAAAGTAAAAATAAAGGTTAGATACCTGATCTGTCATTAATATCTCAAGTGTCGAAGTTGTACTTAATCCTGGTAATGAAATCCATCTCGTCCTGTGTTAGGGTATCTGCCTTTTCCCCTAGTGCTCCCAGTCTACTGATCCTGGGTCTCTTGCCCTTGACCACAACTCTTCGGGTCCAGCTAACAACTTACATGAATCCCCCAATGTATGTGCATATGTGTGTGTGGTGGTGATATAGGTATTGGGGTAATGCTACCCTTTTCTGTCAGTCTTCCTGGTCCTATAGTAGTTGTTTGCCTGTTTCTTGGTTCCCCAAATGTCATTTTCTGTAAGACT